TAGGTACTCTATTAAAATATATACTCAGCATAATAATTGAAAGTTTTATCATTTATAACAATTTAAAAGTTATGTTTTTTTAAATTTTTAATTTAGTGAAAATTCTTCCAAATTTTTAATATTTTGCTATATTTTAATTTAAACTTATGGTAACATTTTAATTTTTGACGCTCATATAATAATAAAATTCGATTCATAGCTATTAGCACCTTGTTCATTTTACTTATGATGAATGAGATTTTTTAATTAATAAAATAGTAATTAGTCATTACCAAGATTGTAAATAAGATATGCCATTGGTATACCAAAGATATACCATAATAATGAATGGCTATTAATGGTTCATTTGTGAATGAACAGACACGGTTTGATTGATGTATAAATTAATACTACAGTATTATGAATTGTAAATCACAGTTTGTAATAAACTCATCAAATGATTGTATGATGATTCATTGATGAATATAACGTAATAAATTATTACTAATGATGATTAAGAATCATGGTTATTACTTAAGATGTGCAACAATTTAACTAAAGTACGATAATCATATTATGGTGATTATAGGGCAATGCATTCACTTGAATGCATTGTGAATCACAATTTGTGATTGAATTCATTAAGATGTGAACACATTGTGAGCAGTGGTCTAATTGTGCCATAAATATGAGGTTTACGTTAATATTGTGCACAAAACGTGATCACAAGTCAATACAAATGAATCAAAAATAACAAAACGTTTAAAATTAAGATAAATTGCAATTAAATGCTTAAATGATTGGCAAAACTAAACAATACTTACAAATCAAATACATTATGAATTTGTGAAACACATGAACGCAAACATTGCTTACAATTAATTTAACATTAATTTAAATACAATTTTTAAAAATAATAATCATTTCATCAAAAAATAGTTTCAATTTTGAAAATGCATTTAAAAGTATGAAAAGAGCTTTTGATTGGTTGAGAGGCAATGCATTGGGCGGTCGTCTCTATGCGGCCACCAATGAGAGTGACTCACATATGAATGCCATTTAATAGTCACGTGTTTATCACAAGTAATCACACATTTATTTTGATGAAAACATGGATTTGTTTGATGTCTTTGAGTCAAACACTTCCCAAAGTGTGCCGAAGAAGAGAAAACTCGACGAAACAGAGGACAAGGAATGCGAGGATTTGATTAACGAAGTGATTGGCCATCAAAATGAGGACAAAGAGACCAAAAAAGTGAAAACTGGCGAAGAATCGGAGATTATTGAAATCGATGTCCAAAACGATGACCAAAACGATGATAACAATGACGACAACAATGACGATGACATCCAAGAAGTGAATGAAGTGAACGACGAATTGGTGGCGAAGACTGTGTGCCACGAGTTGGAGGGCAAAGAGACGTGTCTTCACGAAGTGGTCCTTCCGGTTGGTCTCGAATATGTGGCCCTCAGAGAGCCCACAGAAGACCACAAACCGGCCAAAGAATACGAGTTTGTTTTGGATCCGTTCCAGAAAGAGGCCATTCTTTGTATTGATAACAATCAAAGTGTTTTAGGTATTCATTCACTTATTAATTGTGATATTTTTGTTTGAATAATAATATATTTAACCATTTGTTGACATCAGTGTCGGCGCACACGTCCGCCGGTAAGACAGTTGTGGCCGAGTATGCGATCGCTATGTCATTAAGGGATAAGCAGAGAGTGATATACACGACACCCATTAAGGCGTTGAGTAATCAGAAATACCGAGAATTTCACGAAGAGTTCGAAGACGTCGGTCTCATCACTGGAGACGTGACTATCAATCCGATGGCTTCGTGTCTTATAATGACGACAGAGATCTTACGGTTAATGTTATTCCGCGGGAGTGAAGTGATGCGTGAAGTGGGTTGGGTTATCTTCGATGAGATCCACTATATGCGAGACAGAGAGCGGGGCGTCGTCTGGGAGGAGACCATTATCTTATTGCCCGATACAGTCCACTATGTCTTCCTTTCGGCCACTATTCCAAACGCCCGACAGTTCGCCGAATGGATCGCACACTTACACCAACAGTCGTGTCACGTGGTGTACACCGATTACAGACCCGTCCCATTGCAGCACTACATCTACCCGTCGGGCGGCGATGGACTGCATTTGGTGGTCGATGAAGGCGGCAATTTCAGAGAAGATAACTTCAATCTAGCGATGAATGTGTTGCAAAACGCTGGCGACGCCGCCAAAGGAGACTTCGCTATGAGAGGCCGGAAGGGAGGAATGAAAGGTGACTCTAGTTTTATTGATTGCTGTTTTGCTATAATTTGGTGTCTATTTATAGGCGAATCCAATTGTTTGAAAGTAATCCGAACAATAATGGAGCGAAACTTAGCGCCAGTTATTGTCTTCAGTTTCAGTAAGAAAGAGTGCGAATCCTATGCCTTACAGATGAGTAAATTGGACTTCAATTCAAGTAAGAATACATCCACAAAGTCATAGACTCTTCAAAAGCTTATTATTATTATTAATAATAATTTAGACGACGAGAAAGATTTAGTGGAAGAAGTGTTTAATAATGCAATCGATGTGTTGAGTGATGAGGACAAGAAACTTCCGCAGGTATTCTAACATTTAATTTGTTACATTATTATTGATTAAATATGGGCTTTATTTGATAGGTTGAACATATTTTGCCGCTTCTTCGACGGGGAATAGGTATCCATCACTCGGGACTGCTTCCCATAATTAAAGAGACAATAGAGATATTATTCAGTGAGGGATTGATTAAAGCGTTGTTTGCGACGGAAACGTTTGCGATGGGCCTGAATATGCCCGCCCGCACTGTTGTCTTCACCAACGCTCGTAAGTTTGATGGAACGGACTTCCGATGGCTTACGTCTGGAGAATACATACAAATGAGTGGAAGGGCTGGAAGAAGAGGTTTAGACGAGAGGGGAATTGTTATTCTCATGATTGACGAGAAGATGAGTCCATCCGTTGGCAAAGAGTTGATAAAAGGAAAGCCAGACTTTCTGAACAGTGCTTTTCATTTGACATATAATATGGTTTTGAATTTGCTTCGCGTTGAAGAAGTGAATCCAGAATATATGCTTCAACACAGCTTTTATCAATTCCAACACTACTCTGAATACCCAAAACTACAACAAAGTTTGTTTGCAATCTATTGTTCGAGTCATTGATTTGTTTATAAAAGTGTTATTTATTTTTAGGGTTAGAGGAACTGCAGAAAGAGTACGACTCGACCGGTGTTTCCGATGAACATTATGTTAGCGATTATATTAAAGTTAAGACTCAATTAAATTCGTTATCTCAAGCCTTTTTACGCTACATAACAAGTCCTCAATATATCATTCCGTTCCTCGTTTCGGGTCGTCTATTGAAGGTATTAATGACTTATTCATCAAATTTATAGTATATTTAAAATTTCAACTTTTGAAAGGTTGTATCGAATGATGGTTTGGATATGGATTGGGGAGCAGTCGTTAATTTTAACCGAAAGGTTGTCAAAAGTCGTTCGCGAAATCCCTCACTCGAAGACTCGACTGTCTATACGATTGATATTTTGCTAAATTTGGCCAAAAATGTTGATCCGAAAGGCGAAGACATTTTTCCGCCAAAAGCTGGAGAGAAAGGAGAGATGAGAGTCGTAACCATATCGCTGACCAATATTTCGCAAATTAGTTCCCTAAGAATATTCATTCCCCAAGAGTTACGTAATGTAGATAACAGACAATCAGTGCTTAAATCTATTGGTGAAGTGAAAAATCGCTTCACCAGTGAAGACAAAAAGATAAATATCCCTCTTTTGGATCCAATAGAAGACATGAAGATTAAGGATAAAGAGTTTAAGGCAATCGTGAAAAAGACTGAATCGTGTGAAAAACGATTCGCAGAGTTTAAGTCAATTGATTCCAATTCTATTAAATTGTTTGAAAAGAAAAGTAAAATAACTGAAGAGATGAAGAAAGTGAGACAAGACGTCAAAAAGGCTCAAAGTTTACTACAAATGAAGGAATTGAAGTGTCGAAAGAGAGTTCTCCGACGTCTCGGTTACTGTACGGCCGCTGATGTGATTGAAATCAAAGGACGCGTCGCCTGTGAGATCACGAGTGGCGATGAATTACTTCTGACCGAAATGTTATTCAATGGTGTTTTCAATGATTTAAATGTTTACCAAATTTCTGCACTTTTGAGTTGTTTTGTATTCGAGGAGAAGACACAACAGGTCCCTAAACTCACCGATGAATTGTCTAAACCTTTGCGAACGATGCAAGAGTTGGCCAAACGAATAGCAACCGTTTCTATTGAAGCCAAACTAGATTTAGACGAAACCCAATATATCGAAAAATTTAAGCCAAACCTAATGGATGTGATCTATTCGTGGGCTAAAGGATCCTCTTTTGCTCAGTTATGTAAAATGACTGACGCTTTCGAGGGCTCTATCATTAGATGTATGCGAAGATTAGAGGAATTATTGCGTCAAATGTGTCAATCGGCTAAAGTTATCGGAAACACAGATCTCGAGAACAAGTTCTCCGAAGCGATTAAACTAATAAAACGAGACATTGTTTTCGCCGCAAGTCTTTACCTTTAAGTTTGTAACATAACATAAAAGTCGATCACTTTATAACATGTAACTCGCAATCAATGCTATATTTATCATAATTTTTGTATCAAATAAAACATTTGAAATCAATTGAAACATTTAATCCATTTTGAATCCAATTCTAATACAGTATTGTTTCAATAAATTATAATATTTTGGTGTCAAATGAAAAATGAAATTAAATGATGTTTTGTGTAATTATTTCTGATATTTGTTTTAAAAACAATTAAAATATATTTTGAGAAATGAAAACAAATGTTAAAATAGATTTGAACAGAAATAATGAAGAATGTTGTCATGGAATCAATTCAATCCTATAATCAATTCAAACAAATGGATAACAAATATTAAAAATTGTTTCAGAAATTAAAAACGAATGTATTGTTTGAATGAATTATACCGAAGAGTCCGAATCGGAGACAACTTTCTTAGACTTCTTGCGCTTGTCGTCATCGGAATCGTCTTCCGAATCAGATGTCTTGGCTTTCTTAGGCTTCGGCTCCTCTTTCTTAGACTTCTTGCGCTTATCGTCAGAGTTATCGGAATCGAGATCTTCTGAGTCCGACTTTTTGGTGCGTTTTGAGTGTTTGCCTCTTCGGTCAGAAGAGTCGTCGGAGTCGTCGCCCGAGTCGTCCATCTTTTTGATCGCTTTCTCGATTTTGGGCAAAAAGTTAATCAATTTATTCCACTCATCCATCGAAAGACTGATCCCTTTTCTGCCGGGCTTTTGGTCTCCGTTATCGTCGGTATAGTATTCGCGGACATCGACTCTCATCTGATTCTTGAACTCCGAGACCGACACAAATCGGTTTCGACTCAATTGAAACGACTTCCCCTCCGGACCCGATTGGCCTGATTTGCACCACAATTAACATCATTTCAATCAATCACTTCCACAACAAGACATACCTTTCGACGAATGAGACTTTGATTTATTGCGAAACGACATCTTCTTCTCAATCACTCCTCAATTCAATTGCAAATCACTTTTCAAATGGATTTCAAAATTTCAATTCAATCACTGAATCGTTTGTTTTGCAAACCTTTTGTTCAAATATGCCATCAATTACTGCATTATTGTTGACATCCCTTTCAATACACATGTAGTCAATCGGGTTCTCAAACATTGCGCCTATTCTTCACGTACTCTATGACTAAAGACATGCTTTAAATTATTCATTTAATTCTCATTTAATGTCTATTAACAGTGAAATTATTAATTTCTTAAATACCGGTCTCTTTCTTATCGTATTTATTGATATCTAAACATTCAATTAAATAATGCACTCAATTGTTGACAATTACTAAACATTCATTTCTTTCTTATATTTTGAATACAAATGCAATGTTTTATTGCAATAAAAGGCGAAGAAATAAAGGCCGAGATTTTAATTCAAAAACATTTATTAATTTTCATTATAGATATTGATTACATCAGTGTTTAGACGCTCTCCTGAACGGGCGGTTCGTAGCCCTCAGGTCTGTCCACTTTCATGGGTTCTTCGCCGGGAGCGGCCGGAGTAGTAGTGGTCGCGCCCTTACCCTCGCCATGGATTTCGAGGAGTTTTCCCAAATCAAACTTCGGTTTCTTCAGAACCTTTACTTTTCTGATCATAACGTCATGCAATGGATATATCGATTGACACGACTTCTCGATGTCTTTGGCGATCGAATCGGGAATCAATTTGTTGACCACTTCTTTGAGGTCACTCGACGCGATCTCGCGCTGAATCGTGTCAGTCATACGTTTGCGGATTTGTCTCACTTGAGTGGTCTGTGCGTACGACGTCTTCTTCACCTGGTTTTGCCATTTTCTGGTGAAACCGATGCAAAACACGCGCAACAGATAGCCATCAGTGGTGCGGACGTCGACGTTAGCCTCGATCAATGTCTGCCACTTCTTCACCATTGATCGCAACTTATCTGTTGTCAAATCCATGCCGTGAAAGTTGGTCAATACGATCCTTCCCTGGACTTCTTCGGCGATCAAACGGAACTTCTTGTACGCGATCTCATCGTTCTGGAGGTCAGCCAACGAGCACTCGAAGACACGGCCTTTGAGTCCCTCGGATGCGATACGAGTTCCCTGAGTCTTATTCACCAAAGTTTTGCCCACATTTCGCACCGAAAACATCGACGGACTCTTCACGTCATACCACTCTTTGCGAGTGAACGGATCCACAATCTTCTTCTTCACGCCCTTTTTGCCCCCTTTCGCCAAACCCTTGTTCTTTCCGACAGCCATTCTTCCGGTTCAGTCACACAAATGACAGATAATTATACCTTAAATTGTGGTTAAAGTGATCCCAAACTTAATGTTAAACACGTTTAGAGCCACTCATTGCAGGAAAAGGAAGTATTCGTACAAAACATTCACAAATTACGGGACAATACTTTTTGCTAACAAAAGGGATTCAATTATTGCAAAACTTGTTTTAATGATAACTTATAATAATTTATATTTTGTTAATTTAATTGTAATCTATATTTTTACATCAAATATTTTAATACATATATTAAAAGTATAAAAATCTATCATAATTTGATTTACTCTTTGATTGATTTACCTAATTCAATGAAATATTAGTGCCATATATTGTTATACAGTACTATAGTAAAATGTGCATGCTCAATTTACAGAATATTAATTGATTTTGATGCGATATTTAACATGAGATTATATTGATATAGCATTTAATCAATAAAATTTATTTAATTCAGTTTTAATTTAAAAAAAAATACAATATTTTGTGCAATACTTCAGGAAATACCAGAAGTGTATAACTTATGAGAGAATGTATTGATGTGTTCAATGAGTACAGTACTGTATTGGAAGATACACTCAATTATAGATGCAGTTTAGTCTCTGTATTAATACAAACGGATACAAAATTGACATAAATGTTATATGACTTGAATAATAGGTGGGATTAAATATTTATAAATCTGAATAATATATGAAATGCAAATCAGTTTCAATTGAATGCAAATAAGTGGCGATAAGAGTGTTGTTAGTGAATGGGAGGCAATCGTAACAACGGATCGCAAAGTAGAGAGGATTTTGGTGTTGAACGACGAGCCCTAGTGTTTGAGTGTTTGGCTGAAGAGCTGATACTTTGCGGTTGAATTAAATCCATGGTTTGGACGAGAGTTTAACTGAAGAGAGCGATGGTTGACTTGTCTGGTAATCCCGAGTCGGGCGGCCCTATAGAGCACGGGTTTAGTAATTGGGTGTTTATAGTGCCCGCACTTATCACCGCTACTTTAGTAGGTATGCATACCTGGCCTCCCAGTCATCCTTTAATTTAGTTATCACTAAACTTTTATAACTATTTGTAAATTACATTTTTCTAACAATTCTTGTTTGAGAGCTGTCTCTGAAATGTATAAATTATTTCGACAATTAATTATATAATTGACAGTAAATTGAATTGAAAAACAGGTGTTTTATTAAATTAAATGACAGAAAATTATTTAGCGTTTGAATAATAAGCTAATAGTGAATACAAAGCTAATAGTAGTCTATTTTATAGTGAATTGTCGTCCAATTAAGTAATGATTTGTTATCATATTATAGTTATTTGGTAACTGTTAGTATCGATAGTAATTAGTTTATGTGTTAATTCAATACACGTTTACATTTGTGATGTTAAGGTCATTGAATGCCTTAATTTATAATAAGTTATGTTAAGTTAACACACATTTATTACAACGTGTTCTTTTAATACAACTTTAATTTAATTTTAATTATATTTTCATAAATATTTAAATCAAATAATTTTATGAATTTGTGATTTGTGTTCAAAATGAATTTACTTTTGCTTTTAATTCTCATACCTATCGCTATATTAGGTATGAATTGTATTCACATAATTGCCAACAACTTATTTTTTATAACTTATTTACGTTTAATATGTGATAATTATTACATAAAATATATGAAATGGAAATTCCTTATGAATCTCAAAATTTACATTTATTTATAGGATTTTTCTTTTATAAACTGATCCAAAGTCTGATGGATAAGGAGAAGAAGAAGGAGGAGAAGAAGAAAATGAAACAACAGAAGAAGGACTCAACCAAGAAGAAAGTCAAATGACTTTAACCTGAATTATAACCAAAACCTATGATTCCTTATTTACATTCCAATCAATCACTTCCACTAAACTAATGTTTTTGCATTAAAATTTAATTTTTGATTCAATTATTATTTTGGATTTATTTATTCGTATGATTTTTACATTTTATTATCAATTTTTGAATTACTTTGTGTTGCATTATATTCTTCGGTAACTTTAATAATTGGTCTCATTTATTAGGAAATGTGCTCTCATTTTAAACATGTTTAGCCAAAAAAACATTTATAGATTTAATGTATTGTGCCGTTCATTGCAGACAAAAATATGACGAAATCTGCATTTTATTCATTCATTTTTAATCAAATGTTTTAAATTTAATAAAAAATATTTTATTAATAATGTTATAAGAAGTAAATTTTTGTAAATTAATTATTTATTTAATTTAGTGAAAAAATGACAAAAATAGTGAACTAAACATGTTTTAAAAGAAAACACTATAATAGGGAGGGCCCCACTGGGGGGGGCAAGTCTGGGGTAGGGAAGTACGGGTATTAAAGCGCTCATATTAATTAATATTCAAAGTTAAATACGTGTAAAAATTGTTAAACTTATAAAACCGTAGGTTTATTATGGATTGCATTGACCTCTAGTTCGCGCATACAATGAGTGAGACCTCTAGTGCAGCAAAAGTCGCATTCATTTTCGTTGTTTTGAATGAAAACGAAATGAAAATCAATTGTTTTGTTGATTAAGTGATGTTTGCATTAAGCAATTGATTTGATTGGAAATCATAATTGAATTGTCGGTCAACACAATGACTGAAGAAGTGAATGAATACATGGTATGAATGACTGATATATGAATTGATTGAATGTATAGTGAATTGAGTTGTGTTTCGCTGAATAGGGAGAAGACGTGAAGAGCTGTCCGGAGGCGAGGGTTGGGTTGAGTGGAGGCGAGGGTTGGGTCGAGTCGGGCGCTCACGTGTCAGGTATTGTCAAATCAATGGTTAACTCATTTGTTTGATTAGATTTAATGAAATGTTTAATTGATTTGATTTATAGAGAAATTAAGTTCAGGTAAGCTATGAATTGAATGAAAGGACTGATCAGTCGATTGAGTCCAACAAAAACCGAGTCTTTAACACAAAGTATTGAATATTTAATAAATACAGAGCTTTTGATAAATGAATTGGATTTAAATGATTGTATAAATCGGATGATTAAAGCAATTGAAACGATAATACAATTCCCGATAACTTGAGAAAAAATGTGGTAAAGTTGACAATAAATGAGACACAAAAATGATTTGCAATTACTATATGTTTGCCCTATATTTAGGCGATTGTATCAAATAATGTAATGAAATGCTGTCCATAATTAGTTGGAATCACTTCCTCTACTCTGCAATTAAATAATCCCTCAAATAATTGTTTTGTTTTATAATATCAATCACAGTATAGCACCGGTACTCCTGTCTAACCACTCAATCGCTAACATTTATGTTTCTGTTTTATAGGAGATAATGAGTTGATGTCCGATAGTATAGCGATACCACAGTATGGCATCACTTATGACTACAATAACCCACAGATACACGACTCACAGGTATTTATTGAATTGCATTCTTGTTTACATTTTAACACATCTTTATTCGCTATTTTGATGAAACAAAGAGTGAGTTTAAACCAAACACCCAATCAATCAACTCATTGCCCGTTTAAATGTTTTCAAACATTGTTTTGTATGTAAAACATAACGTATAATAACTTATTTCTCAATTCAAAGACTATTAGTGAGAACATTAGTGTCGATCCCGCAAATCAAGGAACGGTTGGTCCACCGACTGGTGATTACAATCAATACTATAATTATTACGCCAATTATTACCAACACTATCAGAACAAGACTGAAATCCCTGCCAA